ATTGATTATGAATCACAGTCAAACTAGACATTGAGTGATACATAGTTTCTTAAAAGTAACCTTCACCTAGAAAAAACTATAGCAATTTTATTCAGTCTCTAGATTAATTAAGGCATTTTCCAATCAAACTACATCATCCAAGCGAAACATTAAATCTTCGATTAAGAATTATTTTTAAATTTCCTTAAATGGATGGACTTTGATTGGACACAGCCAAACCACAAAGTGAGTGATACGAAGTTTCTTAATCATCCTCCCTAAAAATAATAACATCACTGTTATTGTTGCATTTTAAAATTTAGCAATCAGTTTAATTTCCTCACTATAATAATTAAGACATTTTAAATCAATTCAACCATAGTATCCACTATGTCCAAGTGAGGCATTAAATCTAACATTCTGAATTCTTTTGAAACTTCTTTTAGACAAACCGACATCAGTGGAGCACAATAAAAAAGAATATGAGTGATGCTTAGTTTCTTAAGTAATCATTTTCAAAAAAAAATAATATAATCATTTATTAATCATTTATCATTAACAATATAATCGGCTATTGTTGAATTTTTAAAAAGTTCACCAGTAAAAGTTCAATCGCAATGTCTAATTCACACTATACACCAATTAATGCCTTTTCCGTCAATTTGTCAAATTATCTACTAGATCAAATGGAGTATTAATAAATCTCAAACTAACCTTCTCAAAACTCTGTATTACGCTTATAACAAAGTGGAGCACAATAAAATAATTTTCAAAGATACAGTTTCATGCATTTTGATCATTTACCAGCGTAAAAAAATGTACTGGGGGCCGTTATAGTGATAAAAAAATCTAATAAACGCCCGAAGCCCTCACACTTTACATCAATTGCTGCTCCATCAATCAAGCTAGAAGTATCCACTAGATCAAACCATAAGGTCAATCCAACACAACAAAGAAATGTTTTTAAGGATGTTAGATAGACGATTTAAGTGGCACCAGACAAACAAGACCTGAGTGATACATGGTTTTTTGTATGTCCCTACCAAGAATATAATATAAACACATGGTTGTTGTTGCATTTTTAAAAATAGTAATCAGTTTTGTTAGTCTCTAGATCGAATTAAAGCCTTTTCCATTATTCTAACTAAATTATCCACTAGATCCAAAAGAGGCATTATATTCCTCCAAGAACTCTTTTCAAACTTTTGGAGACATAGTAAAAGCTGAATCAAAAAAAGAATTTTTGTGATACATAGTTTCTTAAGGGTGATCCATTTGCCAAAAAATACTCAGCATACAGTATCTGATGGCAAAAAAGGCAATAATCAGTCCAATTCACACTCTATATCAGTACGATGATATTCCATGAATCGAACCAAATTAGCCGCTTGATCAAGCCATATACAATAAATTCCACACCAAGAAACATTAGACAGATCGATTATGGTAAATCACAACCAAATAAGACCTTGAGAGATACATAGGTAAACTTCACCTAAAAATTCTAAAAAAAGATGGTGGTTATTATATTTTAAAAATCAGCAATCAGTTTTATTTAGTCTCTGTATTAATTAAAGTATTTTCCATTAATCGAACCAAATCATCCACTAAATCCAAGCGAAACATCAAGTCTACGATTAAGAACTATTTTTAAACTTCCTTACATGGATAGACATTGATTGGGCACAGCCAAACGACAAAATGAGTGATAGGAAGTTTCTTAAGTAATCTTCCTCCCTAAAAACACTAAAAGCAGACAGTTATTGTTGCATCCAAAAAATCTGTGCACAGCAGAAAAAAAAATCTTTCTCACACTCTTGCGATAAAGTGTCAAATAGATTTCACAGATGAACAGATCTCACATCTGCGAGAAAGCTTTGTTCGTGCGCCGTCAAAGGAGAGATAAAGTTTTGAGACATGGTTTATTTATTTATTTTTTGGAAGGAAAGATTTGATATTCTTGAGCGTTAAGTTCTTTTCAATAAAAAAAAACGAAAAAAAGTTTGTGATATCAAAAGGAACTGTTTTTGAGTGTACTCAATTCGAAATCCAAAGCTGCAGTATGTATCAATCTGATTATTATGTACAATATATAAATAAATACAACAGTTATATACAGTAAATCAATAAGTACGGCAGTTGTATACAATACATCTATAATAAAGGCCAGAAATATTAGTAAATATATATACATACAAACCTTTTTTGAAGTTATTCCACGTATTATAAGTGAGCAAATACGGCAGTCATATACAGTACGTCAATAAATACGGCAGTTATATACATTACATCAATGAATGCACGATAGTTATATATAGCACACCAATAAATACGCCAATATATAGAGTACACCAATAATATAAGCAAGAAATACTGTCCATATATATGTATATATACACCAAACCTTTGTTTCCACGTATTATATGTGAACAAATACAGATTATATTTTCTCAGTGGAGTTTAGAAATAACTACGAAGAAAATTATTATCCATAGAATTATGGGTTTTGCTTAAGAGAACGGAAATTTTCGTTCATTTCATCATTTTCAGTTTTGTTTACGTTTCTTTCACGAGCATTTATACACAAAAAAACCCAACTATAATACACTTATAACTATAAAAACGGACGGTTGTTGTTATGTTTGAAAAGTTGGGAATCAGTTTTATTGAGTCTCTAGATCAATTAAGGCATTTTCCACCAATCAAATTATATCACCCACTAGATCAAGCGAAACATTAAGTCTTCGATTAAGAACTATTTTTAAACTTCCTTATATGGATAGACATTGATTGGCACAGCCAAACGACAAAGTGAATGATACGAAGTTTCTTAAGTAATCTTAAAAATACTAAAAGCAGACGGTCATTGTTGCATCCAAAAAAATCTGTGCACAGCAGAAAAAAATCTTTCTCACACTCTTGCGATAAAGTGTCAAATAGATTTCACAGATGAACAGATCTCGCATCTGCGAAAAGCTTTGTTCGTGCGCCGTCAAAGGAGAGATAAAGTTTTGAGACATGGTTTATTTATTTATTTTTTGGAAGAGAGGGATGCGAGATTCTTGAGCGTTAAGTTCTTTTCAATATAGGAAATGAGAAAAAAAGTTTGAGAATCAAGATGAACTGTTTGTGGGTGTACTCAATTTGGTAACCAAAGTTGCAGTATATATCAGTCTGATTGTTATACATAGTGCATCAATAAATACACCAGTTATATACAGTATTAATAAATAAGGCAAATAAAATTTTTTTATGACATATAGTTTCTTAAGTGACCATTTGCCATAAAAAAAAACTCAGACAGTTTCTATGGCAAAAACATTAACATCAGTCTAATTCATGCTCTAAACCAATTAAGGCATTCACCATCAATCGAACCAAATTACGCACTTGATCAGGATATACAATAAATACCACATCAAGAAAATTTTTTAAACTTCGTTATATCGATTATGGTAAATAAGATCTTGAGTGATACATAGTTTCGTTAAACTATATTATAACCTTTACCTAGAAAATACTATAAAAGAGGTTGTTGTTACGTTTTAAAAAACTGTAATCAGTTTGGTTTAGTCTCTAAATCAATTAAGGAATTATCTGGCAATCAAACTACATCATCCATTAGATCAAGCGAAACATTAAGTCTTCGATTAAAAACTATTTTTAAACTTCCTTATATGGATAGACATTGATTGGGCACAGCCAAACAACAAAGTGAGTGATACGAAGTTTCTTAAGTAATCTCCTCCCTAAAAATACTAAAAGCAGACGGTTATTGTTGCATCCAAAAAATCTGTGTACAGTAGAAAAAAAAATCTTTCTTGCGATAAAGTGTCAAATAGATTTCACAGATGAACAGATCTCGCATCTGCGAGAAAGCTTTGTTCGTGAGCCGTCAAAGGAGAGATAAAGTTTTGAGACATGGTTTATTTATTATTATTTTTTGAAGAGGAGATGTGAAATTCTTGAGCGTTAAGTTCTTTTTCGAAAAGAAAATGAAAAAAGCTTGATATATCAAAAGGAATCTGTTTTTGGAGTACTCAATTCAAATCCATAGTTGAAATATGTACCAATCTGATTGCTGTATACAGTATATCAATAAATACGGCAGTTATACGCAGTACATTAATATATACGGCAGTATATGTAGTGTATTAATAAATACAACATTTATATACAGAACATCACAAATACAGGCAAGAAGTATTTGCAAATATATGTATATCAAACTTTGTGCATGTGTTCCACATATTATACGTAAACAAATAAGATTATGACTATGGCTATGAATATATTTATAGGGGCGGATTATAAATAATTATGAAGAGCATTTTTATTCATAAAAATATGGGTTTTGTTTTTGGAATGGGGTGAGTTTCGTTTCGTTCTATTTAATTCCATTTAAAAAGGTAGCGAAATATTAATTTTGACCATATATTTGCTGTTGCCAAACTAACATGTAGATGTTGGACATTTGTTTTACATTTTATGAAAAGCAGATAAGTCATTTCTACCTTTAAGAACTATTAATATTTTTGTCTGAAGACGATTATGCCCAGTAAAAGTTGTTCATGTCCAGTTGGAGCTTTTTATGTCCAGTAAATCTAAGTAAAGTTCTGTTTAATTCCATTTAAATATGCATGTAAATATTAGTTTTGACAATATATTTGCTGTTGTCAGACTAATGAGTGGATGTTGGGAGTTTAGCTGCTTTTCATAAAGTGTTGTTGTTGTTGTTGTTTCTTATCCCACTTGGCTGGCCAAGCCCACGAGCCCATACGTACTCATGATTGAAGGGGAAGGGAGCAGCTTCTGTTGTGATGGAGCACCCCGTAGGTAGAAGTCTGACTTTGGCTCCGTGACGCTCTTACAGTCATAGGAGACCGGGACCTACGGGTTAAAGTGGATTCCGAACCACTACAAACATCCATGGCACCGCCGGAATCGAACCCGAAACATGTGGCACCGAGCGCCACAGCGCTAGACACTCGGCCATTCAGGTCCCAAATTTGTGAATGCCAACTGCACGCGGTGTTCCCAGGTGGTCACCCACCCAAGTACTGACCGCGCCCAATGATGCTTGACTTCGGTGATCTTTTGTTTGAAGCGAGAACCGGTATATTCAGCATGGTATGGCCGTTGGCTCTCATAAAGTGTAAAACAATAAACAGTCTAATGTTTTCCTATATATCAGAGCTATTAATTTTTTTGTTTGAAGATGATTATGGACAGCAAAAGCTGATCAAGTGCAGTAAAATCTTCACGTTCTATTTAATTCCATTTAATAGGTAGACAAACGTTGAAATTAACAATATATTTGAGGTTTTAAGACTGACGAGAGTTGGAGGTTTAAATGTTTTTTCATAAAGTGTAAAAAAAAAAAAAAAAAAAAATCAGATTCTATTCAAATATCATTAAGGCCCAATACAGCAGCCAGTATTGAAAATTAGGAAAACAAAATGTAATTTATATATATGCCGCTCTCATAAAGGGCCTTTATAGTAAATTTCTGTTAATATACATATGCGATTAGTTTGGCATTAAATTGCTTCATTAACATATTCTGGACTGTATTTCCACACACATGAGTTCACTCATCAATTTGACTCGTTATAAGCCATTTTATAGATGCGTAACCACAGCACTCTGTAACCACATTTCTATGCACTGCAATATTTAGATTAAATTTCAATGCCCTTTAATTACCACTGATCAATTCACGTCAGGCCTTTGCCTAAATTATGTTTAGATGAGAGAGTAAGATATTATGTGAACTTCCAGTTAAGACGCTCTAATGCACAATCCTATACCACGAAAGGCGAACGTGAATATCAAAAGATATGAAATAGCATGTTTCAACCATTTGAGATACAGAATCAGTGTTATTATAACTAGGTTGTATTTAATATAATTACGTTAAATTAATTAAATAATAAAAATGATTAAACTTGTTAAAAAATGTTGTTTTGTTGTTGTTCTAATGCAGCTGGCAATACAGTCACTTAATCTTTATGCCATAAGCAAGGGCTGCACTGCTGTTACTCATTTAGCACTACACGGGGCACGTGTATCGTGAAGATATGCTACGGACGCGGGTAACACTACCTACACAATGCTCTACGATCCTGTAGGACAGGACCTACGGTTTAAAGTGGATTCGAACCACTACAAACATCCATGGCACAGCCGGTATTCGAACCCGATACCAGTGATAAGGAGTGCCAGAGTGCTAGCCACTAAACCACCGGACCCCTAAATGTTGTTTTGTAAAACTTGTGAACTTGTTTTGTGGAGGGGATAGAGTCAGTATAAAAGAAATCGTATAAAATATCTTGAAACTTCATAAGTTGTTATAAAATATATTGTTTGAAACACATTTAAAAAAAGTCCCGCATAGAAAATAAGTAAATCAAAACCTCACGATGTTGTCTCTGGTCTTTGGTACCAAAAGATTTTAGGTTCGAATACAGGCGGTGGCATGGATGTTTGTAGTGGTTCGGAATCCACTTTAAGCTATAGATACCGGCCTAATAGGGCGTTGTTTTGAAGTTTAGTCAGTCTACTGCCGTAGTGGTTCCTCACTAAATGAGAAGAATGAATGTAACCCTTTACATGTCCCAGTCGACGGGAAATGAAAAGGGGCCAATCTGGGCCAGTGCCACCTCGGAACAGACGCACATGGGGGAAGGAGTATCCTCACAATAGCGATCCCCGGTTACAGACCCTCTGTCGAAAACGTGGAGCACAGTTCGCCCGTTCAGCAAAAATGCCTCCCCAGACAAGAACTCCAGAACCACCATAACGGTGTCTTTCCTTGAGGTTACTGCGATAAAACCGGGTCCCGACCTCTCTCCAAATCAAAACGCGTTGAAAATCGCTTCTGGTACAGAACCGACTCTCATCCGTAAAGAGAATCTCATCCGTAAAAGACACGACTCCATTGATCAGTTATCCAATTTTTGTGCTCTCTGCACCACTGTAAACGGTGGCGTCGGTGGAGAACTTTCAACAGGAGGCAGCGTTCAGGACAGCGGGCGAATAAGCCCATTTTGTGAAGGCGTCTGGCCACAGTAAACCGCGACACTTGTCGCCCCGTTGCTGTACAGAGTTGCTTGCTGACTGCTGTCGGCCTCTTTTCGCTTGCAGGACGATATATCGGTCATTCCCTGAAATTGTCGTCCTCGGGCGGCCACCGCGAACCTTTCTAACAGCTGTACCTGTGGTTTGGAACGCTTTCAAGCACACGGAACGACACTTTGTTGATTCCGAACTCTGCAGTTACACTGGTGACAGTACGCCTCTTTTCCAGCTTTCCGATCATTCTTCCACGTGTGAAGTCGTCCAGGTGATTTCTTCTAGCCATATTTCACGAACTGACTCACTGGCACTTGCAGCGAATATGTTGAATTGCGTCTCCGTCCTTCCTTTTATTCTACTGTTGAGTTGCGCGCGCCGACATCATGCGTTTTGCGTACACTCACGTTGCCTCCGACGTTTCGTTCCTGATATTTGCATACGCATGACGTTTCTACTGACTTACGTGTTCATTGTACTGATCTCCAGACCTCCTTTTCTGCAATTTCATGGCTATCTGCTAAATTTTTACATTGTTGCTTAAGTTTTGAACACCAGTGTATTTGATTACATTTAGATAAAGTAGACAAACGATTGGATGTTGTATGTTTACATTGCTTTTCTTTGATTATAAAAAGCAAATGCTAAAAGGCTTTCCTACCCTTAAGAACTATTAAATTTTGCTTAAATATATTATGTACAGTAAAATTGTTCTAATTAATTCTATTTTACTATTACTACTACTACTACACTACACCATGTCACTGTGACTACAGTTGAGTTGCCTCTATACAGTTTGGGAATGATTTTGATGAGAAGTCTGATTGGGCTCTATGACGCTCTACGGTCATATGAGACCGGGATCTACGCTTAAAGTGGATTCGAACCCTTAAACACATTCATAGCATCTCCGAATTCGAACCTGAAACCTGGGTGCCAGAGCATATCCACTCGGCGATCAGGCCCCTAATTAATTCGATTCAAATAGCGTTGGTACCCAATAATATAGTCAGTATTCAAAAATATAATGCTAAGATGTAATTGCTATATATACCGATCTCATAAAGGGCCTTTATAGTAAACTTCTGTAATATCCATATGCGATTAGTTTATCAAATTACTTCATTAACATATTCTAGACTGTATTTCCCCACACATGAGTTCACACATCAATTTGACTCGATATAAACCATTTTACAGGTGCGTAACCACAGCACTCTGTAACCACATTTCTGTGCATCACATTATTTAGATTAAATTTCAATGCCCTTTAATTGCCACTGATCAATTCACGTCAGCCCCTGCCTAAATTATGTCTAGATGAGAGGTTAAGATATTACGTGTACTTCCAGTTTAGATGCTCTAATGCACAATCCTATACCACGAAAGGGGAACGTGAATATCAAAAGATATGAAATAGCATGTTTCGATTACTTGAAACACAAAATCAGTGTTATTATAACTAGTTTGCTTTTTTTTCCAATGCAGCTAGCAAACAGACATGGTCGTCTTGGATGCCTTAAAGCGAGCGCTGCACAGACGTTACTCACTTTGCATTACCCAGGGGACGCGTGTAACTTGAAGATTAGCCCCGGACGCGGAGTAACAATGCCACCGTAACGCTCTACGATCCTATTAGACCCGGACCTACGTTTTAAAAAGTGGATTCGAACCACTACAAACATCCATGGCACAGACGGGACTTGAACCCGAAAAACCTGTGGTACCGAGCGCCAGAGCGCCAGAGCGCTAGCCATTCGGCCATTCAGGCCTCTGCTTTTAATATAATATCGTTAAATTAATTAAAGTAATAAAAACTTTTGACATTTGATAAAAAATTGTTAAAAATTTTTGTTTTGTAATAAATAAATAAATACAGTCAATTCTGTTTTTTTTGCGTGGTTTGGTTTGTCGCTCTACGGTCACCGTGTGTACATTAGGTTAAAAATACCGGAACCTACAGTTTAAAGAGGATTCCGAACCACTCACAAACAGCCATGCCACCGCCAGTATTCGAACCTGAAGACAATGACACCAAAGGCCAGAGCGCTAGCCACGGTCACCAGGGTGGTGTTTTTTGTGTGGCCCATAGGGACAGTTAAAAAGACATTGCATAAAAATTTTTGAAACTTCATAAGTTGCTATAAAATATATTGTTTAAAACACATTTAAAAAAAAAAAAAAAAAAAGCATAAAAAAAAGTCCCACAACAAAAATATATGTAAATCAAAACCTCACGATGAAGTCCCTGGTCTTTGGTACCACAAGGCTTCAGGTTCGAATACTGGCGGTGGCATGGATGTTTGCTAGTGGTTCGGAATCCACTTTAAGCTATACGTACCGGTCTAATATAGCGTTGTTTTGAGGTTTAGTCAGTCTTCAGCTCTCGTGGTTCCTCGCTAAAAATGAAGCTGCATGTTACCCTTTACATGTCCCAGTCGCCTGCGACGGGGTCTTCTGGACCTGATGTAGGTTTTCCTGCACCAGGGGGATTAGTAACAAGAACTATTAATTATTTTGTTTGAAAATAATAATATGTCCAGTAGAATCTTCTACTACTATTAGCGGCCTGGTGATCAAGGGGCTAACGCTCTGAACTTTGGTATCCCAGGCTTCAGGTTTGAATCCTGGCGGTGGCATGGACGTTTGTGAGTGGTTCGGAATCCACGCTAAACTGTAAGTCCCAGTCTGTTTAGTCTAAAGTGTGCACCTAAAGTGTGCATCTAGTTACTATTTAATTCCATTTAGATAAAGTAGACAAACTATCGGATGTTATAAGATTTACATTGCTTTTTCTTTGGTAACAAAACAAATGCTAAGGGTTATTAATTTTTCTTTGATGATATTAATATGTCCATTAAAATTGTTCTAAATAATTATATTCAAAACAGTATTAGTACCCAATAATCTAACCAGTATTTAAAAAATAGGAAGAAAAAAATGTAATTTCTATATAAGCCGATCTCATAAACTTGTATATATGCCGATCTCTCTTTATAGCAAATTTCTGTGATATACATATTGGATTAGTTTGGTATTAAATTACATCATTAACATATTCTGGAC